TTTTTTTAGTGGGTTTTCTAACAAATCATCTAGGAAATGACTAGGTTTCAATCCATGAAGGTGAATAGGCAGACAAAAGGTGTCTAGAATGTTATCTATATCTAACGTGGCCTTGTTGAATCTCTACATGTAGTCTTATAAAGATTAACACTCTTTTTGATGAATGCATTAACTCAGTTGCTATGCACTTGATTTCTCTTTAGCTCACAAATTTGTTGGAAAACAATGTGGCAAGCTATGTATATGAAGTAATTGAGTGACTTGGAAGCTTATGATACCATCTTCTAGTTGTTGACCTCAATGTAGTTAGGAATACTTTGCACATCATGACATCAAAAGCACCACTACTAGAAAACATCATTTAACCGATAAAAATATAATCGACAAAAATTCCATCGATTATAGGTATAATTGACAATCAATAGTGGCTGTCGATTATGTCTAAATTTTATAGATATATATGTTAATATTTAACCTTCCACTAGTAGCATCTATAAATATTAGATATCTTGTAAATAATAAATTTGATAATAAAAATTTAATACTATCAAATGTGAGATTATTGTTAATTAATGTTATATATATTGTGTATATATAATAACAAAATTAACTATAAATATGTAGTGTTAGAATGATAATTTAATCAAAGTAAATATATGTATAAAATTAGTTAAAAATAATCTCACATTTGATAGTGATAAATTTTTATTATTAAATTTATTATTTAGGAGATATATAATATTTATAGATGTTACTAGTAAAAGGTTAAATATTAACATATATATTTATAAAATTTTAACAAAATCGACAACCATTATTGGCTGTTGATTATACATATAATCGACAGCCAATAGTGGCTATCGATTATACTCATACCGCTTTCTCCACCCAAAAAAAGTTAAATTTCGTAACTGATCTAATTTGAAACATAACCAACAGCCATTTTAAAACATAATTGACAGAATTTTTATCGAATGCATTTTGTCTATACATATGGACATAGAAACAAAATCAGCAAATATCTTCTCATCTCAGCTTCTCTTACCTCTCCCCTCCTCCTTCCTTTCCCACTAATGTTTCACCCCATTTCCCTTATCCCTTTGTTCTTATCTTCTTTTCCCTTTCTTTTTTATTTTTCTTTCTTCTTTCATCTTCTCCCTTTCCTTCTACCTTTTAATTCTTGCATTGCATGTCTTCATCTTTCCCTCTTGTTTCTACTTTTCTTTCATCATTCCTTCTACCTTTCCTATTTTCATTTTTGGTTGTCATCCTTCTACTTTTCCTTCATTTTCTTTCATTTTTTCATCTCAAAGTTTTTATTTTCTTTTTATTTATTTATTTACTTTATTTTCATTTATTTTATTTTCATTTATCATCCAATTATTTTTATTTAATCTACTAATAATTTTTTTTATTTTTGCAGATTATTAAGCTTAAATTTATTTTATGAGGTAAATTCAAATTTTGATTTATATTTTTCATTTTCTTTTACTTAAAAAAAATCTTATCATGTATAACAATGCTTTTTCTTTTTCTTTTTACAGATATTTTTATTTCATTATAAGTAAATTACTTGTCATTTCTCTTGTTTTTCCATTAATTCTCAAAATATTTCAATAATATTCTTGTTTTTCATTTATTTTCAAAATTATTATATATATATATTTTTGTTGCACTTGATTGATTTTATCATTGAATTTTGTTTAATGACTTTATAATTTAATTAATAACCAAACAATTAAAATTTTAATTCTACATTTTTTTAATTCTATTTTTTTTATTGCTGGAACAAATATAATTGACAGCCTTTTCTATTGATTATACTTATTTTCCACCCTTGTTTATTCAACAAAGTTGGTTGTCGATTATGTCTGTCGATTATACCTATAATCAACATAATTTCCCTTATAATCAACAAAAAATTTTGTCGATTAAACCTTGTTTTCTAATAGTGCACTATGTATTTTCATAATAGCTTGGTAGGCATGTAAATGTTCATCTAGATCTTTGGAGCCATCATACATCTCCAAGTAAGGAATATTAAATCCCTCTTAATATGGCTCCGATGTAATAGACAGGCTAAGAGAAGCATTATCTGGATCTGAAGCTTGGAGCCAAGATTTGGGGTTTTTTAGTTCATTAATGAATTTTTGTATTTCTGTAAGTTGCTTTCCAACTCAGCATTCTTCTTTAGCAATTCTTCATTAGACTTGGAAAAGTTTGGCTTAACATTGGATCACCTACTTCTCCTAGGCCTTATCAGTATAACAACATTACTCAAAGCTGGGGAACATTGAGGTGGAGTACTAGCTGGTTGCTCATTTTATTTGACAGAGGAATCAACAAGTCCCCTGGAATAAGGCTTAATAGAATCTTTCCCATAGCTTCTACCAGTTCAGAATTCTATGTTGTTAGCATGGGAACTTCAGGTTACAATGATGTGTGAGCTGGATTCTTGTTTGATCAAATGCCTCTTAAGGCTTGATGCTCATGTACTTCAAGTTGTCTTGCATAACCTGTCAAAGTTTGTTCTTTGTCAAAACTATTATCTTGTGCTTCTTCGACTCCTCTAACAAATAGATTCTCTGACATCTACATGAATTCTCGAAGTTTATTCTTGGGAAATTGAGTATTACCCTGATCGTCAATTTGATTCATTTGACGTGGTTAGTTCCCTGTAAAAGTATGTACCATGGTTGTTTAAAAATCGCAGAACTATATGGTTGTTTTGTTTTTGTTTTCCACAGATGGTGCCAATTGTTTAAGAAACTTCACGGGTTAAAACATTGTTGAATTCTTGCACTGTTATGGTACTTGAAAGTCCTAAGGAAATGTCCTTGGGGAATACACTCCCACGCTAGAGAGAAAAGCTCTCATGAACTAGATATTGTAGAGAGAAAAGTGTAACAGAGTTATTTCCTTCAAATGAGGTAAGAAAGGGGTATTTATAGCTCTTATTGATGACACCACTACCATATGTCATCATCCCATTGGCCCATATGCTGCTGGTTACATGGGTAAGTTTACACTACTTATTTTTGTCTTTGGGCTCTTATTGAGCTTCAACCAATGTTGGGCCAACTCCCCTACAGAAAAGATAAGAGATGTAGATCAAATCTAATTAACAGGAATATTTAATTTGAGATGTTGATGATAGTTTGTGTGGGCTATATGGCTAAGTTGCTAAGGATACAAATCATTTAATACTTCACTGCATTTTCTAGTACAAATTATAGGGTAAGTGTTTATCCTGAAGGGGAGTTAAACATACTATACAGGGCAACTACAAGGAAGCTTTTATGCAACACAACTAAGTGATTAATTATAGGTTAAATCCCTATTTTGGTCCCTAAACTATTGTACGAACCTTCGATTTGGTCCTTGAACTAAAGAAATCCCTAATTTGGTCCTTGAACTATTATACGAACCCCTGAGTTGGTCCCTAAACTATTGTACGGACCCTTGAGTTAGTCCTTAAACTATTATACAGATCCCCAATTTGGTCCTTACTGTTTACCAATTTAGCCCCAACTTGGTCCTTTTGTTAAATAATAGCTCAGGGACCAAATTGGGGAGAAATTGTAAATAGTAAGGACCAATTGGGGGTCCGTACAATAGTTTAAGGACCAACTTAGGCCAAATTATAAACAGTAGGGACCAAATCGAGGGTCCGTACAATAGTTTAGGGACCAAATTAAGGATTTCTTTAGTTCAAGGACCAAATCGGAGGTCCGTACAATAGTTCAAGAATCAAAATGAGGATTTAACCTTAATTATAATAGATGTTGTATTGGTCATTTGGCTTGCTAGAAATGAGAAAGTTTTTAATGGTAGGAATTTTAATTTGGATCGGGTGATGGAATTGGTATAGATTAGGTCCTTTGTATGGGTAAGTGGAAGGGCAAAAATATGACCATTTTCATTTGCATATTGGTGTTTAAATCCAAGACAAGGTATGATACCTAAGAAGAAGTGAATTGGATTTTAATTCCATAACAACAATGTGATTATGCAATTAGAGAAGAGAAATTGTTTTCATGGATCATTTGTACACAGGTTAAGTACTTCTTGTACTCCTTGCAATCATATTGATTTTTTGCCGTTCAAAAAAATTGTAAGATTTTATTAGATGTTTAATTTTAATTGGGCAATTTTGTCAACTACGAATACTCATATATCAACTAGCGGTTTGGTGCAAGGTAGCCCTTTTTATCTATTAATAGTTTGAATTCTAATTGTTATCTTCTACTCCAACACCACTAAATGAAAAATTTTACTGAACATCTATTTCATAGCAATTTGAAATTTGAAAATACAAAAATTTATCAAATACCTATAATATAACAATTTAGGCAAAATTGTTAATCATTAACTTCAAACTTCTAAGCCAAATGAGTCTCTAAATAAAGACTTTTCTTTATTAATTCAAGGAACACTAATTGATATACATTCTAATTTTTATATAATACACAACATATTTATTAAAAAAAATTATTATTTTTGGATCTAAAATTAAAAGTATATAAGCATGCATATAAAATGCAAAAACCAGTTGAATTATGCTATACTTATATTATATTTTAATAGCTGAATTGGACAAGTGTCAAAAAAATTAGCTAAATTAGGCTATATTTACATTATATTTAATAATTGAATCGAACAAGTGTTTAAAAGTGTGTTGAACCAAGTGTATATCAATCATTTTCCTAATACAAAAAAAGACTTAACTCCAAATAAGAGAAAAATGAAAAAAAAGATTGAAAGAAACCTAACTGCTTTAAGAACCCATAGATCTTGTTTGGGATTGTTTTCAAATGAAAATCCTTGCAAGATAAGATTTCTTTCTCATAGGCTAGTTTAATGCTTTGTGTTTACACTTTGTAGATTAATTTAAATGCCGTCATTATAACTGCTACTTTTATCTTCCTTCTTCCTGGCGTGGTATTGGGTCGGTTTTATAATAAATACACCTATATATTGTTTTGTCAGCTATCTTTTTCTGTCTTGATTTGCTTATTTATTGATGAAATTTATTGCTTTATTGATCCAATTGGAATGATAAAAATTGAGTGAATTTCTCTGGAGTTGAGGAAAAAACAGCCTGGAAAATTGGAGTGTATGTTGGTTATGCACACCATGTGTTCACTGAATTGACTAAGTGGGGTGTGGCTAGTTTTTCTCTTCTTGACATAAAACTGGGATCTTGATGCAGCTTATACAAAGATTTTCTTTGAGTCGTTTCACTTGCTTTGTTTTGGTGATTTGGACATGTTTTTTACATTGATGAATTTTGTTAACGAAGACGCAACCGGTTAATATACTTTTTTTTCCCTCTTTTCAATGTTTAAATTTGCATCCAATAAAATATCATCAATCGATCAATCGAATCCAATTCACTAAGAAAATAGCCGAGGCAAGGAAATAATTAAAAATAACAATCTTTTCAATTGCTATTTGTTTTTTTTACTAAAGAGAATAGTTTCATAAGAGACTTGTAACAGTAGCAAGAGAAATTGAAGCCATTTTATGGAAAATATCGTCCTCTCTAGCCAAAGGAGACTCCCTCTTCAAATCGTCACGAAAACAATCTTCACAAGTATCCGAGTCAGTTGTAATGGCACTGACATAAGGAATAGCATTACGGTAATCTTTCTCCTTAAAGTACCTGCGAGCACCAGCTAAATCGGAAGGTACACCTTTGAAAACGTCAGAACAAGTAGTTTCTAAGCACTTTTGTGCAGACCTCAACGTTTCATTACTCAAGAGCTTTGGAATGACGGAGTTCACGATGTTTGTTGCATTCGATGCGAGTTGATCGAGTGAAAACGTGAACAAATTTTCGAGGCTGGCACTCTGGCCCTGGGGATTTTCTCCAAGAAATTGAAGGCAAAATTCGTAAGTCACTTCTGTCCCGGAGCTTGCAGCAGACTTGCAAGCCTCCTGTAGAGCATCGGCGTTTGCAACGGAGGAATGGAACAGAAAGATGATTAAGAGGTGGAAAACTAAAAAAGCGGAGAGAGAATTAGGACGCTTCATCTTCCCTTTTTCTTCTTCTGCTTTGCTGAATAAATAGTTTGTGAACCTAAGGTTTCTAACGTAGCCTTTTATATTAGTCTATAGTGGTACGTCTATGGAATTTTTCCTAAAATTCAAAATTTTGCAGTTATCACGGTCAAAGATTTGCGTTCCTTATTTGTTTTTACTTTACCTTTTAGAAAGGATTTGCCTTCCTTATTTTCTCTAAGCAAAAATAAATTTATTTATTAATTTGAAGAAAGGACGGTAAAATTTCATGGAGATCTATATATACATTTATTTTAGGAAAAAAGGAAAATTAGGATATCTTAATAATTTTTAATATCAAGATATCTAATAATAACTATACAATGATTTTGATAAAATTAGAGTCCACACTATACCCCTACACATTTAATAATTGTGGTTGAACATCCTAATATTTTTAATATCAAAACATTTTAATTTTTCCCTTTCTCTTATTTTTATATAAAATTTTAATAATTTATTTTTTTTAATAATTGAGATTTATTTATATTTATTAAAAATAATTATTATTTTTATCTAAAAAATCATTATAAATCTCAATCATAAATAATAAAAAGATAAATAATTAAAATTTTATATAAATATAATATATAAAATTTATATATAGATAAATCTCTACTCTTTATTCATTAAAAATATATTAAAATTGTTGATTTGTCTTCAAATTGATTAAATGGGTGTTTTAGCCTACGTAATCTGTACTTGAATTTGTTGGGGTATTGGAAATTCGCCCTTAAACAAAAATACGTGCAAATTCAACCTCTAACTTTACTGGCTGTGTAATTATTACCCATATTTAATGTGCCACACCAACTTTCCATTTGCTGATATCACCTCCCGTTTAGCTTAGATAACGTGGGAATTGCATGTTTGGCGCTAACATTAGTAAGCGGAAAGCAATTTCGGAAAGTCATGTTTTTGACAGATAAATCTGCGCATATATACTTTTTGTTTAAGAGCGACTTTCAAAGTACATTTTTTTCCAAGGCTTTCTCGTTCCTCAACCGATCGCATTGTCTAAGGGCTAAGTACAATCAAGAACAAACCATAACCCAAGTGGCTTGCCCTGGTTACTTCTTAGCTACTATATGGCACATCTGGAAGGCACCGAACAGCTTCATTTCTGATAACTAGAGACCAACACCAAATGTCATTGCAAGAATGGCTCCCAATTTTGCAGTGGACTCGCTCTCACTACTAAAATTTTGTCTTTTACCAATAATAAATCAGCATCATGAGATTGTTTGTTGCTGAAAATAAGTATCAGCAACAAACCCCATGTTGCTGAAAGTGCTACAATACAAAAATGTACATCTCACCCCTTGAAATTCTGCTCCACTTTCAGCAATATACTTCTTGTTGCTGAAAGTAACATACTCCATCTTGTTGATATTTTCCGGTGAATTCCTTCCCATTCAATTGAGCTCCACTTTTCAGCAACGTGTTTTTTGTTGCTGATATTCACTTGCTGAAAGTGCCTCTTTTTTTTGGTAAAATATTTTTTTTTTTGTGAAAAAATGCCTCTTGTTACTA